GCATAGCTATGTAAGTATTTTCTATCAAAAGAGACAACTCTTCAAAAAAGTAGCAGGACCAGTAAGATTTTAGGTGGGATAGCATTTTTCCAAGTTCACTAGACCTATTGGATAGTGATGAATTTTCTTGACTGTCTAACCCTGTTATAATACTAATAACTGTTCGTATTTGTTGTTTCCTATGACTAAGCCAGAATTACCTGTCTGGTACCAACTAAGTTTAAAAAAAGATGGTAATATTGGATAATATAATCTATATGCTTGTATGCTAATAGCATATCAAAACTTAAAGACAATATCCAGCATTATAATATCATGAATAAACAAACAAGTCATTCACTGCCAAGTCATCGAGCTATATACATGGAGCTCCATGCAACAAACAACCCAATAATTTAGGTGTATTTGAAGACTGAATTTTAGTTTTCTGTCACTATTAAAATGGAATTTTGTTTGAAGCAGCTGTCGCATCACATCCAGTTCGATATGGGACTCACAGTGACGTATACACCGTGTGTAAAATACATTGTTCGTTTACATGAGATTCAAAAACAAGCTGCGCGCCGACCACCATCCTTTAACCTTGCACCAAAGGACAGTAACAAAGAATTTTACATTTTTTGTAACTGACTGTTACTGTTGTTATGTGACTGTTTTTATGATCATATTACCTTGCCCCGTGTAGAATATTTTGTATGTTTTGGCGAAAAGTCAGTCGATGAATATGGGGGGGTGGGGGGGGGGTGCACTGATCAAAGGTTCAGTGGTGAATACCTAGTTTGTTTGTTCATAGTAAGCTAATATAATGCAGGACATTGCAGCTTCCAGCTATGTGTGTAGCGCTTGTAAATCCTGGAAGTTTACCCATCATATAATCAGTTGATATCACAAAGTTCATTTTGGCTCACTATTCCATTGATTAAAAAATCGTCAAAGTAAATCAACAAAAAATGTAGCATATTCTATTAGATTATGCAAATTGAAAGAGAGTGTATCAATTACAAGGTAACCTTGTGCATATCCATTTATCCACCATTCTGATTTCCTATTTATAATTAATCTATTCAGTCATGTACATATTTGTTTTAATGTTTCAGTCTCGAACTATAAGAGATTTTGATGAGAGGTTCACAAGCAAAATGTTTGGCTATCAGAGCGTGAGCCACTACTATCAAGATGCTAGTACATTTAATAAATTACATGCCGTTAAAATTCCAGTCTTGGTCCTGACATCGGCAGATGACCCATTTTCGCCCAAAAGCTGTGAGTATACCTTTATACATACAAATTGAAATTTACATGTTAGTGGATGAGATGCATACCAGGGAACTTGCCATGTTGGTCAGCTCAGACCTGCAATAAAAATTAACAACCACCACCGAAACATTCAAACAATTGTTCTATTCCTATCACGATCACAGTTAAGGTACCACATATATTAACTAGAGATACTATAAAGTGTTCCTGTGTGAAGTGAAATAAATGCTATTTTTGTGTTTGGTGAACAGATAACAAACAACCAGTGAATGAAAAAAAAATTATCTTATATTTTTTTTTAGTTGCTAATAGCAATTTCTATTACAGTAAAAGGATTAATTATTCACTGGGTTTTCATTTTGCTCATTTCGCTTGACTGGAAAATGTGCTAAATTAAAACCCAGTGAATATGTAAAATTAGCATGAAACACATTATCTAAATGATAAAACCGTGAATTTAAAATCGACTGAATATGCCTAGCATGGTAAATCAGCGAAATTTAAACCCAGTGAAAATTAGTCATTTTACATTATGAGTAATTTATATTTCTGTTTCTATTTACCTAGCTTTGCCATTGGAAGAAGTGAAACAGCACCCAAATATGGTCTTCGCGGTCACATCACATGGTGGCCATATAGGTTTCTGTGAAGGCTGGTTGCCACGAGGCAAGAATTACATGGACAGAGTACTGAGTCAGTATATAGACGCCATATTTAAACATGCAGATAAAGAATTGATATAAACATACATGCAGTGTATATTTCAAATTATTTCAATTTTGAAGTTCACATTTCATGTTTATTGTGTTTTTCTATTGAGCTTTTTTGAAATGGTTCATTTAGTTTATGTTTCTAAACTTGGGCAGTTACAGTATTGTTGTAATAGATATATAATATTATGTGATTTGTATATAATAAATGTTTTTTCTAATACTGTAAGTCATGATTCATAGTTAAGGTTACTGACGATAGTGTCCCAAACATGGAGGTTCAAAGGGCAAATTATTGAAACTGTCGTATTTTTACAAATAGGTCTGTACACACACATTATTTCATTAAAAAAAAAATTGTAAAGATTTATTCTAATTGAACTGGTCATGTTTCACTTTTTCCTATGGAAGTCCCATCATCATGGAATCGTCATACAGTAATATTTATCTCAAAAAATTTGTCCATATCCAAATTATTTTTTTGGGACTTGTATAACCTTGTAAAGCAATAAACAATCTATTTGCAAAATATGAAAAAAAACTGTATTTAGCAACCTTAATAACCTTAAGGATGTGGTTGACTTTCTAAGAAATTTAAAAAAGTTGATTTATATATAAGAATATTTACTATACTAAACCTGTATATGGTATATATATATTCTGATATAGATTGTAACCAATTCTTTATAAATATATATATTAATTTATTTATTGTTATTATTGTATGTTTGCGGTTGCCTATAATTTTTGCGATTTTGAGAATTGTGATTGTAAAAAATTATTAGTTTTCTTTTGTTTATTATTTGTGGTGTGCCAACATTTCTGCAAGTAGTACACAAGGACAGAAAAGACATTTTGACAACTCTCCAGCTACCAATCAAAAAACAGCCATTGATTAGATTCGCTTCAACATTCTTTTGGTATGCAAATTATTTTTTCTAATTTGCATAACATTTACCAAATTTTTAGATGTCCTAATGCAATTCAAGCATGCTGACGAAATTAATGACATTCTGTAAGCATGATTATATTTTGTATAAATTTATATTTTTGCTTAAAGCGGGAGCATCTTCACCTGTGCACACAAAGGAATTGAATTGAGGCTCATGGGTAAATGCTTGTTTGTAAACAATGACATGCTATGGCTGTTTGACGCATGCGCATGTGACGCTTACAATTATTATGTATAAATATGTAATGGACTATAATGTAAATCTCTAATATTTCTGTTCTTTTATTTATTTTGATTTTTTCAATATATTCTAGCTAGTTAACTTGTACATTTTTTTGGTTAAAGTTAATTTTTTTATTTAATTTTCGTTATTTATGTGACTCCTTCAATATTTTCATCCAATACCTTTCAAAGATCACACAATTACTGTTTCATCATTTCGAAGACTAAACATGTATTAATTCACCTGCTTTAAGTTCAGATATTTTGTACATGGGATCTGTAGGTAGTAAGTGTCAGCATTTTAACTTTGCCACAACACATAATATATATGGTTGAATAATGTAAATCTCCTATAAAGATGTGTAGTGTGTATTATATCATCTTCTCAACGTTTTTTTTTTATTATTATTGGGTAATGCCATTAAGATACTGACAATTTTTTGAGTAAAAGGGAGTAGGAAATGTTAAAGAAAATGGTTAAATATTGTTAAATGTTTTTTACACAACTGACAATTTTGTGATATATATGTGCAGTAACATGCTCAGTGGTGCAATTTTTCTTTGTGACTTTTGTATTGATTGTAAGTTGTCTTATGGTATTTGTGTTTGTGAAGATGGGTCACAAAGAAATTGGTTAAAAATGCTAATGTTGGTGAAATTAACAACAGTTTCGGACATAGCGTTTTGACTGAAGCTTCACTACTTTTTAATCCCTGTTTAGATGTAGTTCAAAAATTGAGACTTATTGATTGACATTTGTGCATTCATGCGTCCATATCCACCAGTATCAGCCATGCATGAACTGATTAAGTCAAAACTTAACAGGTACATCATACAATGTGTCGAACATATGCACATGATTTTGTTTCATGATCTTATTGAAGCTCCCTGAACGATTGCCATTGCAAGGCCAACAATGTGTTGTAATTGCATACTTTCATCAGACATGTCAAGTACATCCATGAGAATTTGTTGTCATGATTTTTCTCTTGCCTTAAAATAAAGTTCAGGGCAAGGTGTAGTTGGCAAAATGACTGTTGTCGGTTGTCTGTTTGTCCATCCGTCACTGGTTCATTGTGAACTCAACTAGCCAAAAAGTTGACATGTGACCCTTTCCAAACTGATACATCTTGTGGTTTAAGTATGTAATCTGGATCTGCTGAAAATTGGAATATACGTGCATATTTTTTGATATATCATAAAACTATGTTTGACCTTGTGATCTTATTGAATTTCAAAGGAGCACAAATAAGATACGAGAAAGAATGAATCACAATTTTCCAACGATTCAGCATAATTTATTTACATTTTGAATTTGTTCGCAATGTGCATTGGCATAGACGAGCACCTCAACTTTCATCTATGTTTTTCTTTTATATGTTGAGCACATAATGACAATGATTGGGACTGCCCATTTCATTGACTTGTAACGCCTATTTTCGATTTCTTTTATGATGTATTTTTTTTTTTGTTATTTTATAATTATTCAGAAATAATGTATGTCAGGGAATGTGTGTCAAAATGACCACAGAGAATCTTGCTAAGACAGCATTTCAATTGTTTTCACTTGAATTGTCAAACAAGTGAATTTCGGTAGATGGCGCCACCGTGCGATTGAGAATTATTATAAATGAGATAATCTTACATTGAGAATATGTTCAGTGAAATGAGAAATTGAATCTAAGGAATATCGCCCTCAATGCAACGTAGATTGAACAAAGCTCACACAATACACACTAATGTGAAAAGCTCCCTCAAGTGTTAACTATTTCCTTGATATTTTGTTTGATTTCCCTGCCTCTGAGGTAATATCGAATTGTTATTTGAGAAAAGTATTGCATTTACTCCTACCTTAAATCAGTCACGTATTTCGTGCTGTTTTATGCAAATGATATGCTATGAGAGTTGTATATAATGGTCATATTGCTGCTGATAAGTCCACGTGTCGGCAACACCTCTCAGGGTAAACACAATTCAGTGTATGGTAGTTTAACGGGGACTCGTATACAAATCGTCTATGC